TTCTAAAAAATTAATAAAAAAATGTCATGAAGAAATGAGTGAGATAACAAAATTAAACACGACTCAACTTCTCAAGATATTGAACGAAACTAAATTAAACATATTAGTGATAACATTTCTTTTTAATAACAAAATTACTTGATATTATGGTTTAATTTCAAGATATGATTTCATTTATATTGGTAAATATTAACAATATCAAGCAAGACACAATTTATGGGATCAAATTAAAACGCTTGATCCCATCCTCCTGCCGTCTCTAAGTCTTTCGTCTCCAAAAACAGCGTCTCTCAGGTTTGAGTCCAGTCCTCCTTTTATAGGAATTGTCCTAGGGTTTATTTTCTTGCAAAAGTTAAATTTCTGACGCGGGTAAAAGTACACGCCCAAGTACACGGCTATGTACTTTGGCCGTGTACATCTCTGTTTTCTAATAAGTGCTCTTCAAACCTTTCCTGACAAGTACACACTTATGTACACGGCCGTGTATCTCTGGTCTCTGATACTTGGCCTTCACAATCTTTATAGGCAGTATACACTTATATACATGGTCATGCACCTTGACCGTGTATATCTCTGGTTCAAATGATGCATGTAACACCTTATATTTCTTTCCTCAATATATGATAAATTTTCATAAAAATTAATATGGTAAAGTAAATTTTCCTTCAAAACTTTCTAATAAGGAAAAGACATTGAAATGATATAAGGTTCATAGAGTAAAATTTCCTTAATTCATAAATACTTAAGGAAAACAAAGATTCTAAAGTTTTCATCAGCAATAAAGAGGAATAGTAGCTTTACAACTGTTTCAAAAGAATGCTATGGAACTGAAAATATTCATTACATAACTCAAAATAACTAAGTCCTATAGCAGTTCTCATCCATCCATGCACTGTGAGCCTGGTACTATTCAACCTAGTTTCCTGAAAAATGTTGTGTAAGGGTGAGTCTCTACCGTACCACTCATACATAACATATACATTCTTCACAAAACACATCTTATCACGATTAAAGAAAACATCATGGCATTACATATCACAAGGTTATATAAAGCATATTCTCATCTCAACGCGCATTACATTACACAGATTCACAATTTCTTTTACTTTTATCCGCGCTTACCGCGCCCTGTGGTCACAGTTATCCGATGCCTCTATCTCGAGGTCTTACACATTCATGTAAATAGTCGCCGGATGGCCCAATGCAATACGGATACAACGCATGCAATAGACAGCCCCTTAGCAAAGGTAATGGTCAGGAGTCAAGTCGAGAAATGAGTGTGTGGCCATGTGGTGCATTCGAACACAATATTCCGTGCACAATCCCGAATGTCACTCACCACCCTACATTTCCCCAAGATATCCCATATCGTCTCCATCTTCCACTCCCCCAGTGTATCTCTGTAACTATTTACATCATATCTTTTTCCATGCTCTTTCGAGTATATTCACATGTTCACATATGCCATTTCTCATGTTCACACATATTTTTCATCATATTTCCACATACTTTTCATCATATACATCAAACCATGGCATATTAACAATACACATCATTTTTACATGAAACACAATATATTCAAACATAAAACTTCCATCTCTTTGTATATTTCATATCACAAAATCATATAATCATATCAACCATCTTCAATATACCTTATCATGCCTTATTTGGACATAATATCACATTTTCACCATGTATTCATCATAAATCACATAAACAGCCAATTATTCTCACTATTCACCGATTATTTTTCATAAAGCAAGGATTATTCCACATATAATCACATACATGACAAAATCTATGAGAATACAAGTAATAAACATAACAAAATGATAAATTAGAGCCCCCTTTACCTCAAAACAGAGCTTTTACAAGGATTTAACCGAAGGTTTAACTCTAGAACGGAGGTTTTCCTAAGAACATCATGAACATCTATAAGAAGAAGAAGAAGAAGAGAAACGAACGGTAAATCTAACTTCAAACTTAGAAAAACTTACTTGTAATCCTTTAGATCGAACGTAGAATCACAGATCTGAAGAAAAATCTAAGTTTAGGAGGTTTAGTATGGGAGAAAATGGCGAGATATGACCTTAGAACCTTTGAGAACCTTTGATAGGAGTGAAGAAATGAAAATTTCGTCCGCAACCCCCTTTTTATAGAAAATTTTTGAAGTTACTGTTCACCGCTGGAATTTACTGTTCATCGCCAGAAACACTGTTCACCGCCCTACTGTTCATTCCGGAAACACTGTTCGCGGTAATTGTTCACGCTGGGAACACTGTGCACACGTACTGTACGCGGATGTGACGTCAGCCATGACGTCATGCTGATGTCATTGATGACGTCATCGTCACTGTACAAAGGCGGTTTCACTGTTCATATGCGGTTTACTGTTCATAGACAGTTTACTGTTCATTGACACTGTTCATAGGCGGTTTTACTGTTCACCTTTTTTTTTTTTTTTTTTAATAAATTCTATTCCAATTATACTTTAACAAACCTCATTTTATTTAAATCAAAATATAGGATGTTACAATGCATTCCTTGACAACATCAGTGATGTACACGTTCATATACACAGGCGTGTATCTGCCCGTGTATATCTCTGGTTTGATTATTTACATGTTCTCTGCATTCCAGTGAGATACACGACCATATACACGGGCGTGTATCTGCCCGTGTATATCTCTAGGTTCTTCTTTCTTCAATTCTCGACATCTTTAAGGTTTTCACATCCTTGATCCTTTTTTTTGAAATAAAAATAAAATGAGATTAATTATAATAATTTCTATCAATGAATAGCTTAAAAACTCTCAATTATCATAATGTAAGATTAAGTATTTAGAGCATTTATCATTAGTCTTTGTTGTTAAGAAACATTAAAATTGAGTAACAAAGTGATGATTTATGATTTGTTATATTAAGTGACACATGATAGTTCATTCAGAACATAAATGATGTTTTAGAATATTTTCAAAAATAGGTCATTTTCATCTCTAACTTTTGAAATTTTGAGAAATAAGGCCTCTGCCTAATCTTTTGTTTCACCTTTTCATCTTCTTCCATGGTTTTTACATCCCTTCTTTCGTCCCTTGTTGCAATGACATTTATGCTGCAAACTCCTCAATCTCGACTTGTTCCACTTAAGCGACCATATCCAAGGTCCCAAATTGATTGGATGAATGAAGAGGCACAGTAGGGACCAATTTTGTTGAAGTAAGATGAAGTTTTGGCATGACAATGTTGGAGAGGTCATAGGGGCGGTGGGGTCTAAAGGAGTGTGGGTGTAGAGTGGATTGACCAAAATGTTGGATTTAAAGGTGATTTTGGTAGGTTTGGCTTAAGTTGTTGGAAACTTGAGTTTGTTGAGAATTTGAATTTGTTAGGTTGTGTTTGAAAGAAAAATATGAGATCTTGAGCTGAACAAATGTGAAAACTGTAAAAAAAGAGAAAGAGTGAATTTGTGGAAAAAAAAACATGAAAGAAAACAAAACAGAAGACGATGTAGAAGTTTTATTAGTTGAAATTTTTGAAAGTCATAGATGAAAATGACTTATTTTTAAAACTTTAAAATAATATCAATATGTGTCTGAAATCTATTGTCATATGTCACTTGTTAAGTGAACATGTTTCTCAAATTTAACATCTTTTAATAATAATTAAAGTGACTAATAATTATTAATTTCAAGTAATAAATTTCAAAGTTCAATTTCAATAATTAACTTTAGTAAAATTACATGTCCATTAATCCTCTTTAAGCTCGTTGCACACAGTAAACTTGAAAATCATCTCGCAAACTATTTTGTTCTTTTTAATGCAGTCGTCGCAGCATGTGTAAAACTGGTTTTCCATTTCTTGCTTTGGCAGTTTGGCTGTTGTTTTCGTTTTTATTTTGCTTTTGGCATGTGTGTCCCAGTGGGTGTCGAGCATACGTGCATTCGCGGGTACATTCTGATGTCTCTTTTATCACTTGAAGACTGTTATGGAAAGACAAATGTACCCTTTTCGAGATACTTGTGTTGAATCGTTGGTACAAAAGACATGGGGTACATATGACTTTTTCATTTTGCCCTCAATTTTGAGAACCAGACATATCTGTAGCCCACCCACAAATATTACTTTGATTTCTTGGTTGATTATAATAGAGAAAATGACAACAAAAAATAAAAGGATGGGCCCAAAGTTAAGCAAAGAAGAATGCATGATGTGATTTGTAAAGAATTAGGGTTTTATCATGAGCACAATGAGTGGTTTGTAATTATGAGCAATCATGTGATTGTCATTTCCAGAATTATTGCTTTTTTGGAATTGTTAAAAGAACCAGAGCCCTAGGTTTCGGTTCAGTGAAAGGTGGGAGGGGGTGTTCTCTGTACGTGCGTTTTGGAAAGTTAAGTATGAGTTGCAGATGCACAATGCACATGTTAAAGGTTATATGGTAAATCGTTTACTTTCGTTTTTAAAATATCCAAAGAAATAGAGGAGGGAAAAAAGAAAGTATAATTATGAAAAAAGGAACAAAAGTTCTAAACTTATTTACCTTTTTCTTTTCTGACCTCCTTATCTTAAATTCATTTCCTTTTGTAATCCTTTCTCCCTTTCTCACCCCAGAGTACCCTACCCCCACGTCCACAAAAGAAATTAATAACTTTCTCTCTCTCTCTTCCCCTAGCTAGAGCATAGTCCTTCTCTCAAGTGTCATTTTCTCACATATACTTCACACAAAAGAAACAACCATTCACTTCACATACTTGTCATTTCTTCCCTCTCTCTCTCTCTCTCTTCGCCGTCTCCTCTAATGTAATCTTAAATCTCTGCTCCGCAACTACTCCGCCAAAGTCAGAAAGGCAATGTAATTTCCCTTTTCTTGCAAATCACTAAGCTATAGCTCCCACTCTATACACATACTTCTGATCCTTGGAAAATTTTATATTTGTCCAATCATATTGCACTACCAAGGGAATTTGAGAGCTGGGTAAGTTACACAACTGAAGAAGAGTGTATACACTATAATGCACAGCGCATATTTATTAATTATCATACAGATAGACATATAAATATAAATATATACACTTGTTTGGTGGGTATTCCTTGGTAAGATGGAGCCATTTCCAGCACAGTCAGATTTGTCTTTGCAAATCAGCCCTCCAAACAGAAAAGCAACACAAAGTTGGAAGAGAAGCACAGAAGAAGAGATGAATTTGGAGTTCTGGAAGAGAGCGTTGGAGTCAAGAAACTCCTTAGTTAAAACAGACCTCTCTCTGTCCAATTCCAGGGTTTCTTCAAACACAAACACTACCCCAAACTCCAACTTCATCTACCACTTCCAAAACTGCAACAACAGTGCCAACCTCTTCCAATTATTTCAACAAAATCACTACTTTCACCACCAGTCACTCTTCCAGCACCAAAGCCTTAGCCAAGAGCTAGGTTTTCTAAGACCCATAAGAGGGACCCCAGTATATCAAAACCCACCTCCTATCTCGTTTACGCAACACCCCCTAGATGCTGCTTCCAACACAACAATGGCTTCAAACCTTTTTCATAATTCTCAAACTGTGATGCGCTCAAGGTTCCCATCACGCTTTCCTAGCAAGCGTAACATGAGGGCTCCTCGGATGCGCTGGACTACTACACTCCACGCTCGCTTTGTTCATGCCGTTCAGCTTTTGGGTGGTCATGAAAGTAATCATACTTAATTTCATTATTTAATTTCTTACCCTCCTTTTGTTTTTGTTAATTTTCTCTTCTTATGATTTTCACTTTTTGTCATGGAAATCCAAAACTAAAATGAATTTCCCTTTCTTCTTCTAAAATATTCTTGATTATCATCGCAACTAATTTTTTTTTTTTTGTCGTAATTGGGGTTTCTTAGGGGCTACACCAAAATCAGTTCTTGAGCTAATGGATGTAAAGGATCTCACTTTAGCTCATGTTAAATCTCATTTGCAGGTAAACTCAAAAACCTGTTAGTTGCACTAGTGTTACAATAATCTGGGTAAATTTATCGCTCAATATTTTTCAATGTTAATTTTTCAGACCTTTGAGCTTGTAGGTGGGTACGGCTCTGATTGGGGCTTTAATGGTGTTTGTTAGAGTAGTTAGTAATTTTATAAAAATAAAGCCTGCATTGAGTTAGTAGCCGCAGTTAATATCACGATACATGTTCTCAAATTCCAATGGTTTCCTTACAGAGGCCAAAGGGTCTCTCATCCTAAATACTTGTTTTTGTATTAGATGATTAGATCTGTTGCCTCTGCTTCTGCAAGCTAATAAACAGCTTTTTGCTTGGAAGAATGAACCACCCAAGTTTAAGAAGAAAAACAAGTTATTGAGAATCAGAGAGAGAGAGAGAGAGAGAGAGAGAGGGGTACTTATCGATTTCCAAAAACGAGTAAGAAGACAAAGCCCCAGAAATTCAAAATGAGTAGCAGCAAAGCCGAGACAGACGGAAGCGCTGTTCAGTCCATTGCAATATACAAATTTATTGTTATTATTATATAAACTGCAGAAGAAAATGGAAAATATAATTGCAAGTACAGAAACACCATCATTTCTCAATGATCCCTTCCTCAGTTTTGGATTCTAAACTAGAGCACCTTTAACCATGGTTAGTCACATGGTTCCGTGTGTATTCACTTTTTAAAGTAATTTTTCATAATTTATTTATTTTTATCTCTTTTCATCGCAATATTTATAATATTTTTTCTTATCTTTCTTCTAAATATACTAAAATTGTATAAGTATTAATTCCTCAAATTATAATCCTTCTATAGTAGAATTTGTACAATACTGTATGTCAATTTAATTATTGCAAATTAGAGAGCAAAGTTTGTTGTAGTGGGAAGATTTCCCCCCGGTGCCTATAAATTAATCTATGTGATGTATTATGTACTCAGAAAATACAAAATTACTCCGTGCCAAGACCCAATAATACTAAATTACTTAATATTTACGTGATTATTTACTTTTTAAATCTTTTGAGTGTGTTAAGTTCTACTTGTTTTCAATGGAATAATAATTTTTATAAGCTTTCTGACAAAAAAAACTAGAAAAAAATTGTTTTTTTAAACATGTCCGAACATTAACTAAAAGCATTATATAATATATTACTTTCTCGTGCTAATGGTGGGCAAATTTAAATCAGATGTACCGGACGGTTAAAACTACAGATAGAGCTGCGGCATCATCAGGTTAGTGTGACTATATATTCAATTTGTGTTTAGTTTGAAGATTTGGAAGGTCTACTAGAATTTATTATTTTAGTTTAGCAGTTTGTTCTTCATGATCTTTTTCCTTAATTTTTTTTATTTTCTTCTTTGAACACGAATTAATTAATTAGGGCAATCAGACATATATGATAATGGCTCATCTGGAGATACTTCTGAAGACTTCATGTTTGATATAAACTCCCCAGAAAGATCTGATCTATCTGTTAAGCAGGCAAGTGCAAGAGCTAATCAAGACAAGGAAAATCGTGACCTGTGGAGCAACTCTTCCAGGTAATGGACTTCTGAAACTGCGTTCAATTTTATACTTCTATGCTCGTACCACTTGCAAGGTTTAAAACTACGGTTACTTAAATTATAAGAAGTTATGATTGATGTACGATTATTGTGTAGCTGTAAAAACATTTAAATTCATGATATCCCAATTACAATTGTGGTCCTGGAAACAGTTTAAACCTTATTAACTCAATCATCGCTTTATTGCAAACAAATCATAATGCCTCCGAACACAAGTACAGCACAACATACATGCTATTTTGAATGTGACTGTTGGCAACAAATTTATGATCAAATTTAAAGTAATATTTTTCCTTGTCCACATTTTGTGCGGTAGATTGTAATTCATTATATTTCATTCTGTCTTTTGACAATCTTGTTGTTAACTGGCTTTACGTTAAAATATGTATGATACAAATGCTAATAAGATCCGGGCAATTCATGCATCATGCACGTCTTATTCAAAATATAATCTCTCTCTCCGTCCTTCGCTTTCTGATTCTCTCTCCCGTAGCCCACTCATACATAGGCGCGAAAAATTACGAAAGGAATAAATCATTTCACTTTGCTTTGTTCTGTCTGTCCTCAAACCATGAGCACCAAAGCTCCATTATGGGATAATAATATATACTCTCTCCTAGGTAGTGGCTAGAAAGGAAGTAAAAGAGAAACTCACATACCCCCGTTCCACTCCAAGACACCGGATTTTGTTATTTGCCTAAATCCTCCTAAAAAATAGAGATATCTCTTTCCTTAGGATTTTGTGGGTCTCATCCATAAGGCTATTACATGGGGCCCCACAAATATTTGTAAACTTAGTCATAAAGCTAATCTCTTGGTAGACCCATAGTAAGAAATCTTGGAGCCAAAATGATTTTTCCCTTTGAAATCTTCCTTGAATGGTGTATATATATATATATATATATATATATAGAGAGAGAGAGAGAGAGAGAGAGAGAGAAAAAAAGAGAGAGAGAGATAGATGTGCTTATCACATGGGATGGCTTCAACGTTATTTCAGAGAGCAGAATAAGTAAAAGCGGTAAATAAGACACTAAAAGATTGCTTTCTTTTCTCAGAATGCTTTTTTTCTGCATGGCATCCAGTAATGGGAAATATTCTCTCGATTTTTTTGATTGTAACAGGGAAGCTTGGTTAAATGGCAAGCCAAAGGTCGATTCTATTCAAAACGTGTCTGCTATCGAGATTTTTATGATATTACTCAATGCTTCTTTACTTCCCCAAAGTGTGGCCTTTTGGTTACAAAGTATTATTTAAACAAACATCTTTAGCTGCATTTGGAATACGAAATGGAATTGAGAATAAAAGAAACTACATTTGATCTTTTTCATCTAGCCATGCACATTATAGAGATGAGAAAAGGAAATTAAAGGCCTTTCAAAAAGCTGCTTTGTCATTCACCAATTCAAATTGGTAGACCTATCTTTTCCACATTTGCTAATTACAAGGGTAAAAAGAGATTTGTGTTGGAAAAGAGTTAGCCAGTATATCTAAATGTTAATTAATGACCATATTTAATTACAAAACAAAAAAAAACCCTACTGGTTTACATTTTGAAGATATAGCTAGCTCAATTCTTTTAAAAGATAGAATGCACGGACTAAGAAGTGGTATATACTTAATTTTCCCTATGTAAAGTCTCGGGGTCAGAAACTTGTGATTAATTTTTTGTTTTTATTTTTTGCCAAAAGAACTAATAACTAGAACAAAATTATATTAAATAAATAGAATGAATAGCTAAGGATACCATAGAGAAATAATTGGCATTTGGCATATTGATATGCAAATTCTAGCAGGATTTATGTGCACCCGGCTCTTTTTTCTTTTTTTTTTCCTGAATCAATATAATGTTCTGTAATTATTCTGAGCTAAACATACGTCGTTTGATTCTCAATACCAATTTCTTCTGTAATACCATTCTGCTTTCCCAGTCATTTATAGCACGTTTTTATGTTCGTTTGTTATGGTATTCCAGTATAACTATTTTTTTAATATTTATATTTTTTACCGAAGGGAATGGACCAAAAGTGTCTAAGCAATGAAAGAATATCAGATGGAAGCTCATCCTCAAATTCAGGATCAAGCCCCAAGAAGCCAAATTTGGATTTAGAGTTCACCTTGGGCACATTGAAACATATATCATAATATTTCTCTAAAATCGCAAGAGCTAGATCACTAGAATAAGAATCGGGTACCAGCAAAGAAAATCAAAGAAAAATAAAGCTAAAAAGAATACAAAAGAAAGGATAAAAAAAACAAAAAAGTAAAAGGAGCTAAAAAAGACAAGGAGACAAGAAAGACAGAAAGCAACAAAGAAGAGGGTGGGAAACAAAAGCATGTCCTTCCAATCAAAGCTCTTGTAAGATCCAAATCGTGTTATGATTTCATAGTAAATATATGAAATCCATTTGATTTGTATGTTTTGCAATATGACATAGAAATAGGCAGAAAAGCGAGCTTTAGATATCTTAAAGTATGAAGTGATCCTTGGTAATTGTAATGGAGCACTTTACATTTCTGAATATTTTAATATTTTTTCCGAAGGAGTTGGGTTCCTAATCCTATATTCGATCTGGGCACAGTCACATATATACTTTATACTTCAGGAAGAAAAGAGAAGACTGGGAGTATGAACTTATGGAGAAAACTGAAAAATAAGAATAAAGCGACAAAAAGAATTCGAATATAGTCATGATACAAAATAAAGGGACAATAATAAGGGGTGAGCTTTCATTAAAGAAAAGCTAAAAATAGAAAAAGAACAATCTATACTCCTCATTATTCGTAGATGATTATGCTTTCCTAGGAAATTAAAATCCACACGAAAGTCAAGTAAGGAATTTCATTTGATATCTGTACCTAAAATTAAGACATCTCAAATATTCCCTTTCCTATTTTCTCCATTTTTCGAGTATAAACTAACTACTAATGTAATTGCTTCTAATATCATACTCAAATCCTACAAGTTGATTGATCAATATGACATGGTTATTCTACAGCGCTAGCTAATTATTATTTGAGGTGCGATAATGATTAACTTTGGAATTATTTTTCGTAATCGTAACAATGATGATTTGTTCATGTACATAGGTTTTTTCAAAAGTTGATTGCATGACGGAAGACCTAAAGAGTAGTCATGGTTACACAAAATTTATGCGTAAAAATTGTACTAAAAATCAATGGACGGATTCTTCTTCTTCTTCTTATTATTATTTGATAAGAATTAACTTTTAGCTCCTTATTCTAACTTTAGCGAGATTTATGTACAAACACTTCGAAGTTGTATCATTTAGTTTTAATGACATGTCAATCTTTTATCACCGAAAGTAAACTGCTCCAAGTACCACAGGAAACACAAAGTGGTTATACCAAAATATTTTGGGGCGAATTTTATTAGCTGTGAAGAAGTCCTCATGTAAATTGTGGAGATGTTGACATGAAGCACTTATACTAACTTCAAGATACTCAGGACTCGACCTTAGCAAGGTTTTACTTATCACGGATTGTTTCAGAATTCTTTTAGGTTGAAACCCGATTAAAAAGCGTAAAGAATAATCATAATTAAATTTATAAGTTTAAGCTTATAACTTGAAATAAAAATATTGAACTTTAATAAAACAATGACTGATATTACGTGAATCTTAACGAAGGGTTGAAGGACTTGGCCATGTTTCTTTTTATTGATTTTGCTCTTTATTTGATGTGATTAGGATGATAATCTAAGATTAAAGAAGAATAAAGGAGATGAGGCACTTAAAGGATTAAGAAGACTCGTGACAAGAAAAAGAGCTAAAAAGGTTAAGGAGATTTACTTGAGCTTATGGTGAATAGAATCGTTGAAGTTTCACTAATTGATGGTTACAAGAAGACACAGTATTGTTCATGTGCATTCAAATTGAACAGGATCTTACTTAGAATTTTTGCCTAGGTAGTTTGGAGTTAATTTAAATGTATAAATGTTTGAAATATTTTGAGTTTTTAAAAGAATTTGCATGGCCGTGAGCTATGGTTTGTAATAAGGGTATTTTGGACTTAAATAATGTAGTAAACTTGGCTGTTTTGAGCTAAGCTGGGTGTCACGACCCCATTTTATGAAAGATCAATGACATTCTATATTACTACTTCTAATTCAATTATTTACTTATAGGATAATGTACACATATAATAAGGGATATAAATTTTTAAAATTTGAACTTTAGTATCTCAATCATAGGATAACAATACTCTGAAGTCATTTTCATATAACCCAAGAATTTACACACACACACACATATATATATATATATAATGGTTGCTCTGCGAGAAACTCAAAATACAAGTTTTTTGAATAATAATTACATCATTGAAGACTGTAACTAAATAGTCTAGACTCACTACCCAAACCTAAACTAACAAAAATAAAGTTACAATCTTCACAAAACTCTTGACTCCATGCATTCTTCAGCCAGACCTTTCAGCATGAGAAGTAGTTATATTACCTGTCACATCTGCTCACGTACTACAGTACCATCATTGCAAGACAAACACACACATACTAACATAGACAAAATAGTAAGGGTGATTTTACGAAATAACAATACATGGTTATATAAGAAAGATGTAAATATAATTGTTCATACAACTCATTATTCAGCAATACAACCCTTTTGTCAACTCATTGAGTGCCAACAATTACGACGATAACAACAACAATAACAATATCAACATCAATAATAACAACTCAGCTCCACTGGAATCACAACATTAGTAAGTCCAGAAGGAACCTACCGCTCGGCGCATTTGCCTACTACTCGACACATTTGCCTATGATATTTCCATACGATTTCAACACCATCATATAATAAGCATTTAAATACATAATTCATTAGTCGGTCTCAACATAATAAATATTATATCAAAGAATGAAACAACATAAGATTCCATCACATACACATCAGGCTCATCTCATGCCTCAATAACAATCAAACCGCTCAACCATGTTACTTTTGGTTCTACTCTAAGGTTTTGCTCATATATCAACCTGTCCTTAGCCAGAATGAAATCTTTATGTATGTATCTACACATTTCAACATTAGGTGGGTAGATAAAACCAACTAGGGTAAATGGGATACAAAATTCATGGTTACATTGTCCCATTTCCATTCAGGGATCTCCATGGTTTGCAATTCTCCAGGTGGACAATGGCGTTCTGCTTTTACCTTTTGACAAGTCAAACAAGTCTTAACAAATCTGGCTATCTCATCTCTCATGCTTGGCCACCAAAACATCTGCTTCAGATCTTGATACATTTTTGTCACTCTAGGGTAAAGATTAAGGCTACCGTTATGACTTTCCTTCGGAATCTTTCTCCTTAACTCAACACCTCTCGAAATACAAACTTGGTCCTCGTACCGAAGAATACTGTTTGCGCCTCTGTTAAAACCCACTGTTCGATTCGTGCCTAAGAGGAACACAATCCGGTGTAGTGATAAGTTTGTGATTAGGCCCTATTTTACAGCCCATATATTCATATTTGACCTTTATTTTATTTGTATTTTACACTAATTTATATATTAATTGTGTAGTTTGGTATAAAGAGGTTGCAAGTGGATTTTGGGTCCAAATTGATAGAAGATTAGAGCTTCGCAGCAGCCAGCATGGCCAGACCCTTCCAACAAGCATGGGCGTACTTCGAGCCCATGCATGGTCGTGCTCAAGGCCTTGGATGGCCGTGCTCATCTGTAAGAAGCCCAATTATGAAGAATCTTTAGGGTTTTCAAACCCTATTAAAAGGGGGATCTTAGGCAGCATAGGGGACCATTTTTACATCTAGTCTTTGGCTTTCGGATACACTTCTTATCTCATCTCTCTCTTGCATGGGATCCTTGGCACATGCTTGGCGGGACTTGGAGCTTCAAGCGATCGTACTTTAAGATCAGGAACACATCTCATACTCTAGTTTGCTATTTCTTTTGATTATGGATTTGTTTATGATTGTTTTAGTTGTTTCATAGCTACAGCTATGGGAACTATTGTTCATGAATTTATGAAATTTTGATATTTGAATCTAAATTTGATTTCTGATTTGTAATTATATTTTATCCTATTGCGCTTCTTTCTTAATCCTAATTAATTATATTGTCAGATGACCGTACCTTGGTTAATTAATAGATCTATAGGGTAAAACGAGACAAAGGATTAGGTGGAACAAACTAATCTTTCTCTTCTACTCGTTATTAAATTAACAAGTTCATAGGTTCCTTAAGCTTTCTTAAATTGATGTCTTGCATGACCATAGGGGATGTTCATTTAGAGAAAAGAATATTAATATTGCATGACCATTGGGTATTAATAGTATTCATATGAGTGATTGGTAATCACAAGGAAATCAGATTTAGAGTTGAATAGAAAAATAACATAAAACATTGAATGAGAAAACCCATATGCCCTAGGTTTCTCTCTGATAAGTTTAACCAAGACGTGCATTGTATTCCTTGCTCTTAGTTTTATAATTGATTTTATAAATTCTTGTTTTTAATCAATTTCGTATCTTTGAAGCTTAAACAATTGAATTAGGAAATTCTTAATAATTGGAAATCAATCCTTGTGGGACGATATTTCGGGAACTTAATTTAAGAACCCTTTATTACTTCTCGATGGGTATACTTGCCCTTCGAACATGTAGCCTAGGATCCCATAATTGTTTATCTTTAATCTCTTGTAGGAATCTATTGGTCACCACAATCTTGCCACAATTGATCTTCCCAGGCAAAAAGTCCATGTGTAAGTTTAAGTCTCAAAATTGCTCTACCAAAATAGACTCGCTAACTTTCAGGGAGAAAGCCTGAACTACACTCCTACTCAGAGCATCAACTACTATATTAGCCTTGCCTGGATGGTATTGAAGTTGAAATTCATAATCTTTAAGAAATTCCATCCAGTGCCTTTGTCTCATGTTCAGTTCTCGTTGATCAAATAAATTCTTCAAACTTTTGTGATCACTAAATACATCAAATTGTGTTATGTAAAGGTAGTGCTGCCAAATCTTTAGAGCAAATATCACTGCAGCTAACTGAAGGTCATGCGTGGGGTAATTCCACGCATGGGTTCTTAACTGGCATGATGCATATGCCACCACTATCTTGTCTTGCATCAATACGCATCCTAGACCTTGATGCGATGCATCACAGTACACCTCAAAAGGTCGATCGATATCAGGAAGAATCAACACCGGAGAGGATGTCAACCTTTACTTCAGCTCATTAAAGCTCCATTCATAGTCCTCTATCCAAATGAAGGGTTGATCTCGGCAAGTTAATCACATTAAAGGTGAGGCAATCTTTGTAAATCTTTGTATAAACCTCCGGTAGTAGCCTGCCAAGCCCACAAAGCTACGAATTTCTATGGTTGTCTTCGATCTTTCCCATTTCAACACTGACTCCACCTTTGAAGGGTCAATTGCAATCCTTGCAGCCGAGATTACATGACCAAGAAATTTCACTTCTTCGAGCCAAAATTCACACTTAGACAATTTGGCACACAATTGTTTCTCTCTCAA